CCCCGCCCCTTCTCTACAGCTAACCCTCCAGAAAAGGCCACCCGGAAGTGCAACAGAATTGATGGTAATGCAGATCTTCTGACCGCAATGTTGTTTCATCTCATCCTGTGATCAGCTCTTTCAGGAAAAAAAACCTAAAGCCAAGTTTTAAAAAAATGTGTGCCGCAGTTCTTTCACTTTTAGTTGACCCCTTTGATGACCAGGCTAATGAGCCTGCCATGTTATTATTCCATGAAGAGTAAAATGATACGTATATCATTTAAAAATTGATTTTAGGAAATTAAAGTTTGACAGTTGCTATAAAATCTGTAACCATGATTTTTTTACAGTATTGTTTTTAAGAACGTACATATAATTTAAGTGATGTTTTTGACTCCTTTAAGCGGTTTTCAATTGTTTCGTCTGCAATTAACATTTAAAAAAGCCTACACTGTTTTGCATTGATCTAGTGGAAAGAGAGAGTGCTCCCACAGACTCAGAAATATACAACATACAAATACGATTATATTAAATCAATTTTCGGTGACCCACGGCTGAGATAAGGTCACACTTGCCGCCGCTTGTTCAAAATCTCATAAAGTAAGACCAAAAGAGGGTCTGTACCAAATTTGGGACATATACGATCAAAAATGGCTGAAATATAGGTTTTGAGCGCCTAAAATGGTGTTTTAGCCCACTGTGCACTGGCTCAAACCGTTTGGCGGCTGGACGAAGTTCGGACTTTGCGTAACCTAACCTTCGCCGCTATAGTACCGGCCGGTCCAAAATGTTAATAGGCACCTACCATGGACCCTTGTGAACGACGCTGAGAAGGTCTGGTGTGAATCCATTGCACCGGCTCGGCGCAGGGCCTGCCTTTGTCCGGCGGCGCGCGCGTTTTTCGAGTTGGCTGAAAAATCTTTAGGTTCGATGCGCGGTCACTAAGCGTTGTCCGATTCCGCTCATCAAGGGCTCAAAATTCAAGTTACGTTATGGCCTTTCAGAAAAACATGCCGTGGGTATCAAATTCGACCGAGTGAAACACCCTAGCAGGGGGTCTTCCTAAGTATAGGTGGGAGTGCTTTGGTTTTTGGTGATTTAGTTGCTTACCATGAAAAACTTTAACAGCCACAGACTGGGCTCCCAACTCCCATTAGTTCCAAAGTTATGAGGGTTTTAGTGTTAATTTAGTCGTTTATACAAAATTCTCCTTGCGAAGAACCAAAAAGTTTACGGAAGTGTGATCTTTTATTTTAGAGCCCATAAAACGTGCAAACAGACTAGCAAAGCCAGATTTGACTGTATGTGCAAAGGGCAGCCGGAATCTTATTTTGAAAATTGTATTTTTCTTATTTTACTAAAATTGATTAAATTTTGGTAAATATTTTTGTTGTTTGAGAAAAATTTCTGTTTAATGTTGGAAATTTGGAAATCCTGCTTTGCCACGAGATAGGCAAATCAATAAAGAACTTGTACAACAAAAATGAAGTCTCGACAACTTTTGGTTCTTCGCAAGGAGAATTTGGGAGAAACGGCCAAATTTGTTACGTAAACTTCTAATACTCAGAAACTAATGGGAGTTGGGTGCCTCAACTTTGGGTTTAAGTTCATCTAATAGTAAGCAACTACTGTAGAAACTAAAATACAAACATGATGCCACAATTATTTTGAAAAATGATATTTCACATTTTTTCAATTTACAGTAACTTTAAAACTATTGCGAGACCGCTGTTACGTAATTATTGTTTGCTTTTTTTGTGACCTAATATCCTGTCCGATCTTCCCGCGCCTGCAAGCGGAAACCGTTTTAGTGGGGCAGGGGCGGCTATTTAGTGAGGTCAGCACGGGCCAACATAACGAAGGAAAGGAGCGAGTGTGGACGATAGACCCTTTCAGTCGTCACCCACACTGTAAAAACGGTTATGACTTTTTATAACGAATTTTTAATGAAATTTCGAAAATCGCGAGGCTGAAAAAACGAGTATAGTCCCGCGCTGAAACTGCCTCTCCATTATCGCTGAGGTTAGATTGATTGGCTTGCTTTTCAAGGCTGTGATTTTCTTGTCATGTTTTCCTCAATTCTGTAGAACAGTTCATACTCACAATGTAAACACAGCACGACGGTTGGTTTGGCAAACTTTATAAACTCGGGAGGGGTGGTTTCGGAACGCGGGTGACTTTCGTTTGACAAACATGAGCACCGTAAGTCGCAAGATGGAGTGAGGTGCTCATGGTGTTAACTGAATCAGGTTAAGGGATGTAAAAATACCGGTAGGATTCAAAGTTGGCACGGTCCAAAACATGGCTATTTTAAAAAATTTAGAACTAAAATCCCGCGAATGCTATTTTAAATTATCAGTTACCAGTTTTGAAAATGGGAACACCTTGCAATGCGATTAGCACCAAATTTTTTTTTACATTTTCCAAGTCACTTTCAGAATATAGCAAAAAAGATGTAATGTTTGTTTTAAAAAGAAAGGTTGAAACAGACTGAAGGAATCAAAATTTACAATGAAAATACTTTTTAACCAAACATCAGTTTAAGATGGTTCTTCGTTGAGCTCAAAACAAGCTCGGATGCTTTTTTAATCCAACGCGAAAATTCGCAAATGAGTTTCGTTTTATTTGGCAAACCCTGCAGGAATCATGCGCACCGTGCTGCCCATATAGCGGTGTTTCAGATGGATGTGCCACGGGTCATCGGGAAGCGGGCACAGTCGCAGGCTCCGGAGATGCTGCTCCAGTGGCCCTGACGACATTGTAGCTGACAGCACCGTCGGAAAGCTGCTTGGAAATTATGGCGAATTTTGATAAGGGTCATTCCATGGCAAGTCAACCAGAGCCAAAGCCATGATGTCACCGATTTGGACCTTAGTTGGAGGATCGCCATCAATTAGTGTTAATATCGATGCCCTTAAACGCACTGAAAATGCAAGTGTGGGATGCACTAGATAACGTGGGACAAAATGTCCCACGGGTTGTCCCGCGCTTACAAACGTGGGACACCGTTTGTCCCACGCTTGTAAGCGTTCAACACGGTTTGTCCAACGCTTGCAAACGTGGGACATTTTGACCCACGTTATCTAGGGGTAGGTAGGTTTAAGGTTGCCGGCTTGCCCGGTCTCCCAGCATGCATCTCGGTTGCGCAGACCTATCTTCCATATGACCTTAGGTAGGTTGGGGAAGACAAGTACAAAACGCGTACTTTGCACTGTACAGAAGTTCCAAATCAGGATTCAACTATTCTGCTCTCGTGAACTTGTTATCCAATGCCTTCCTAATGAAATCGATCACTGCTCATTGATTGTAGTTCCCAACATTACGTACAACATGCCAAAATGTATGTGATTTCGGAACTCCTCGCAAAGGGTAGGAAAATACACCACCAGGAAAGAAAAGTACAATGAAAAGAACTGCGATTTCGAACCAGGAGACACTGTTAAAAATAATCGTAAATTTACGACATTTTGTAGAACAATTATGTCGTTTTTAAACGACATATTTTGTTACGACTCAAGTCGTAAATATACGACTTGAATCGTAAGTGTACGACATATTTGTCGCTAATTTTGATAGCGACACGTTGCGTTTTAAAACGAATTAAGTCGTAAATTTACGACTTAATCGTAAGTCTACGAACAATCGTAAATTGTCTTTCGAATATGTCGTTCAGTTATGACTTCAGTCGTACATTAACGACTCTTGTCATAAACGTGTGTTATGAATCGTAAATGAACGACACAAATCGTAAAAAAGTGACCAAATTGTAACTTTTCACCAACTTTTCGGGGATTTCAGGTGTCAAAATATGTAATCGTGATTACGACATTGTCGCAGAGAAATGATTTTTTAGTCGTTCAGTTACGACGAAGTAGTTTAAGAACGATTTGCGTCGCTATGAAAATTAGCGACTTTTTTGTCGCTAATTTACGACAGAATTTCTAACAGTGGACCACCAACATTGGCTCATTACAGGTTTACCCCTAAAGTGGAGAGCTTTCACTTGCCATTAGTTCAAGTTTCGTCAAAATAGGTCAATTGGTTCTGATTCTACATAGACTCATCACAGAAGGTCCAAAAAGCCTTTCCTCAGAGATAAGTGGGTACAGCATTTTTGTACTTTTCTTCCCCTTTTCACGTAAATGCCCAATAACTTGTTTACTTCGAGTCTAATTCTATAAGTTGTGTTGACAGTTTTTGCTTGTCTCGCCTTATCAAATTTCCGGGCTCATTCCAAATATAGTATTTAAAATTCAGTTAAAACACTGCGAGAAAGAACCACAGTATTTACCGTTAATCTATTAACAGTGTTCTCCGTACTTGGAGAAACAGAGTTTACCGTACTTAGAAGTACAATGTTTACCGTACTTGGGGAAACAGTGTTTACCGTAGTTAGAAGTACAATGTTTACCGTAGTTAGGAGTACAATGTTTAAAAGGGGTCACGCTTCAAGGCCCCAACGGTACTTCGATGGTGATTCATACCTGGGGAGCCTCAGACAGAAACTTCCTAGAACTTAAAATAAAAGATTTGCCTGTTTGCCGAAATTTCGGTGTACCCTATATTACAGACGCCCTCCAAAACTACACCTGAGCACCGATCACATCCGCTTCGATTGTTCAAAGACCCTCTACTTGAAGTGAAAGAGGGGCCATACTCAGATTTTCCTCTGCTCCCTCCACTTAAATTAATAAACGCATTTGTTACGAATCACCCCTGTTACAAATCGCCCCATACTCCCTTACGCGTATTTTCTGGCTAAATTGAAAAAAAAATTGAAAAATGATATAGGTTTTCATTACAGTTCGAAACTATGAATCGATTTTTTATAACATTTATTGCCTGATATAGAAAGTAAGGTTTAGTGACAAAAATATGATTAACAAGTCATTGGTTGGTAACCCTTTTGGTGCTGATTTTCAAACCACCAACAGCGACCAACAGCATTGCTCAAAGCGCGCGCTTGAAACTAATTGTACCCTGTCGTCCAGCACTATAGAATTAGAAAGGAAGGTGCCTGTCTGTTTACCTTTCGCAGGATACTGAATCTTTACTTGCCGTGTCCGCTTACCTTTAATCTAGTAATCATCAGTGTACATCTGTTCAGGAGTATGGCATCAAGACAGAGGCAACGCAGGCAAGCTCCGCCACGAGCTCCTCGAGCTCCAGCACTTGCTAATCCACCTCCAGGTACTTTTAAATGTCAATAAAGAAAATGTGCTGAGCTCTTTTCTCTTGAATCAAACAAAAAAAAGTGCCGACCTCCTGTTTTGCATCAGCATGTGTTATCTTTGTTGACAGAAAATTTGAGGCGTGGGGAATTTGTATATGTAGTGCCATGGGATTCAGTCCCCACATCTCTGATCGAGGAACTGGAAGCATTTGAAGCCAATATGGAGCCAGCCCACCCTGAGCAACGCTTAAAAAAATGGATAGGAAGAGATTTATATATGCATATGAAGAGTTTAAAACAACGTTTGTTGCTCGAACAAAAACAACTGGAATGGCAATTTACAGATCAGTTACAACTGAGGTTATTGGCAAGTTCAAGTACAGCTTTAAAGTCATTATATATTGAAGGAGTTGAACTGGATGATGGCTATGAGACATTCCTGGAATGTTTTTCAACCAGCATGGAAAACAGGGGTAGAGGATCGACTTCAGTAGAAAGAGTGGTGCCTCAAGCCAGGTTGGCACGGGGGCAAGTTGTAGTTGAACAAGAGATGTACAGCCCTCCTGTTGAGGAAGAGGAAGAACAAACTGCGTATAAGACAAGGCTTCTAGAAATCTATAGGACAGTGCGCGCCAGTAACTGGCCAACACTTGAGATAGATGAAAAGATGCATAAATCTTATGCTCTTCAAAGGCAAGATATCCTCAATTACGCCACTGTTAATGAAATTGACGATGAGGATGAGGAATCAGAAGATAATCCTCAAGGTTTGTAAAACAGAAAAATATTTGGTTGGTACACTGTTAAAAATAATCGTAAATTTACGACATTTTGTAGAACAATTATGTCGTTTTTAAACGACATATTTTGTTACGACTCAAGTCGTAAATATACGACTTGAATCGTAAGTGTACGACATATTTGTCGCTAATTTTGATAGCGACACGTTGCGTTTTAAAACGAATTAAGTCGTAAATTTACGACTTAATCGTAAGTCTACGAACAATCGTAAATTGTCTTTCGAATATGTCGTTCAGTTATGACTTCAGTCGTACATTAACGACTCTTGTCATAAACGTGTGTTATGAATCGTAAATGAACGACACAAATCGTAAAAAAGTGACCAAATTGTAACTTTTCACCAACTTTTCGGGGATTTCAGGTGTCAAAATATGTAATCGTGATTACGACATTGTCGCAGAGAAATGATTTTTTAGTCGTTCAGTTACGACGAAGTAGTTTAAGAACGATTTGCGTCGCTATGAAAATTAGCGACTTTTTTGTCGCTAATTTACGACAGAATTTCTAACAGTGTAACTTTACATCAATTAATTACGTTAATAATTATCTTGACCTTTTGGCCTTTCCTTAGGTGTTAGACAAATTGCTGTAATTCGGAGGCACTGGCCTTTTCTATTTGAGACCAAATGGCAGGCACGCCACTTCCAGCAGTTAATTGGCACAACAATTGATACAGCTATTCAAGATTTTACAACCAATTACTCTGAAATGCTTATGGACTATTTAACTTCATGTGGTTCAGAGAAGGCAATGGCAGCGATGTGGCTCAAACATGGACTCATTTTTTCTCATGCTTGTGAAAATGATTGCGAACCATTTTCAGGAACATGAGGGGATTTTGTACATCTCAGCTGAGGTAATGGTGTATACACCACATAAACAGGCTTCATTATACTTGGTCTTAAGGCGCGGGATCACCTAAAACTGAAGTTAACGGATTGGGCTCAAATTTTGTACACGTGTTCGGAACACACTTCTGATGCACCCCACAAATTTTTTTGGCGCTGGTTCAAATTTGAACAAAGATATTGAGCGTTGAACTGTTCAATCTTTGTGCAGCTCACCCACCAAAAGTACGAAACGTAGACCAAAACTAAAAACATATTCCGGCAGTAAAAATGAGCGCCTATCCGTTGTGGTACCTCCGAAGTTCGTGGCGAAGCTCTATGTAGTCCAAAAAGTTGGTCAAAGTTGGGCTAAAATTTGGTCAAAGTTCAACTCCAGATTTGACAGACATGCCCCTGGGATTTCGTTCCCAGAGGTACCACAACGTGTGCGCACGTCTTTCCCCTGCACAAATCTACCTTCAGATTTTTTGTGGTATCGATACTTTCTGAGGGTGAGCTGCACAAAAAAAGCACTGTTTTTCCCTGCTTTTACTCGTTTTGAATTTGGCGGTCGACTCGTGGCGCTCTGAGAGGTGGCGCGGCGGAGGTTTTCGGAACTGCACGGAGGTTGGCCGGTGAGGCGTGACAAGTTTGTGATGGACACCTGGCTGCATTCCGATCTATTGTCTCCGCCGCGCGTGCCCCCTCCCCTAGGCCGCATCAAAAATCACCGATTTTTGCGAATTGACATTTTTCTGAAAGATCATGTTCAGAAACGACCCTCCACCAAATTTGAGCGCGTTCCGACAAGGGGAAACCCCGAGGCGCACAGGGCCTAAAGATTTGCGGTCCGCGGGTTGCCTACCTCTAGCTGCTTCTTCTCGGCGCCGCGGCTCTCTGCTGGTGCACTCAAGGAACGCAACACAGCGTTGGGGCTGTCCTTTGGGGTCAGTACTACACATTCAATACGTTTTGAGCACCGTCGGGTGCGACCCCGCGAGTACACCGCGAGAAAACCGCGAAATCGGTTTACTCTACCTTCTACGCATTTGAAGCGTTCGCGGCGGGCGAAATCGCTGGTGGAGCAGCACAACCATATCGGCCAAGGACACACAAAGTTTGAGCAGAATGCGCCACCTGCATCACCGTCAAAATGAGGGGAATAGTGTTGCGCCGGGAAGCTAGGCCACTGGTTGGCCATAACAAAAGTCACCGATATTTGCAAATCGACCTATTTCCGCCTATTTTTAGGAGACCATGTTTAGAAACGACCCTTCATCGAATTTGAGCGCATTCCGATAACAAGAAAACGAGTTCCACTGGGCGAAAATATGATTGTGCCGCGGGTGGCCTACCTCCGGACCGAGCGCAACACTATTCCCCTCATTTTGACGGTGATGCAGGTGGCGCATTCTGCTCAAACTTTGTGTGTCCTTGGCCGATATGGTTGTGCTGCTCCACCAGCGATTTCGCCCGCCGCGAACGCTTCAAATGCGTAGAAAGTAGAGTAAACCGATTTCGTGGTTTTCTCGCGGTGTACTCGCGGGGTCGCACCCGACGGTGCTCAAAACGTATTGAATGTGTAGTACTGACCCCAAAGGACAGCCCCAACGCTGTGTTGCGTTCCTTGAGTGCACCAGCAGAGAGCCGCGGCGCCGAGAAGAAGCAGCTAGAGGTAGGCAACCCGCGGACCGCAAATCTTTAGGCCCTGTGCGCCTCGGGTTCCCGTTGTCGGAACGCGCTCAAATTTGGTGGAGGGTCGTTTCTGAACATGATCTTTCAGAAAAATGTCAATTCGCAAAAAAAAATTTCGATTTGATGCGGCCTACCCTCCCCTCCCCCCGCTGCAGTCGCCAGGATTCGGAGGCGAGGACCGGCAGCGCGCCCGGCCACTGGGGCAGCCCCAGACGGCCCACTTCTCGGATGGGGGCAGGGAGGCGAGCATTCAATTTTCCTCCATTTGGATAAAGTTTTATACCGCCGAAACCGCAATGAAACAAGGAACACAGCTAAAACATGTTCGAATTCGAAAATTTGAAATTTGAACAAAGAGTTCGTTGCTGCACGCCCGCAGAGAGCCACCTGTCAAGCCGTCTTTGTGCACTTTGACGAGGGTGAGGGAGATCGTCTCGGCTGCCCCGGCGTCTACACTGCCAAAACAGGCTGCGCCGACAATAAGGAAATGCACATGGAGGATAGGACTTTGTCACCTGGATTTGGTCCTCATTTTTTTTTGCAAGTAGCTGACAGTGGTGCTCTCTCTCGGGAAAGTGCCACACTTTTAGCAACGGAGATGAGATGGGAGTATTGACCAAAGCAGCCCCGGCTATACCCCGCGCGGGGGCCGGACCCGCGCGGCCCCAACGTTGCACCTCCGGGGGGTGATCCCGCGCCTTAACTGTTTTCATGCTACAGTGTATCTTTCTTATCACAGAAAACCACTCTGCCTTCTGAAGTTCAGTTTCTACACTGTCAAAAATTTTGTCGTAAATTAGCGACAAAAACGTCGCTAATTTTGATAGCGACAGAAATCGTTCTGAAACTACTTCGTCGTAACTGAACGACTAAAAAATCATTTCTCGACGACAATGTCGTAATCGCGATAGCATATTTTGAAATCTGAAATCCCCGAAAAGTTGATGAGAAGTTGCAATTTTGTTCGCTTATTTACGACTTGTGTCGTTCATTTACGATTCTTTACACAAATTTACGACAAGATTCGTAAATGTACGACTGAAGTCATAAGTGCACGACATATTCCTAAGAAAAATTACGATCGTTCGGAAATTTACGATTAAGTTGGAAATTTACGACTTAATTCGTTTCGAAACGGAACGTCTCGCTATCAAAGTTAGCGACAAATATGTCGTAAATTTACGACTCAAGTCGTATATTTACGACTTGAGTCGTAACAAAATATGTCGTTTAAAAACGACATAATTGTTCTACAAAATGTCGTAAATTTACGATTATTTTTATCAGTGTAGATGCTGTTGCTGGGCTCATAATGGGAGCCTTTATATTTGACAGTCACTACCCACATTCCCTAAAACACACATATGAATATCTAGAAAGGTATGAATTGTATTATATATTAATCACAAAAGGACAATATGAGAGGCAAATATACCAAACTAAACGATAAAGTGACGAAGTATTGACAATTTTTTAAGCGGTCTTGCTACCGCTTAGCTCTGCATACGATCCCACTCATCCCATCCCATCCATCCACCCATCCATCCATTCAGCGCGCTCGGAGGGGACTGCATGGTCGTGGTTCGTCTGTCGTCTGTCGTCGTCGCCTGCGCCGCCACGCCGCCTCGCCGCGCCAGTCCCCACTCCTCACAGCCACCCCCTCCCTCCTTGCCCCCTCTCTGCCCGGCCTCCCCGGCCGGTCCACGGCAAGACCGCTTTGCTAAGCTTGCCTTGGCGGAACTTTTTTTTTAATTTTACAGAGTTGTTTGCTGATTAGAAACCAACACTATGGTGGCACGTGCAGTTAATGTTACCACTCGGTTAGTGTTGGGCTGAGTTAATGATTTAAGAAAGTTTCAGGAAAAGTATGAGTTACAATTAGCACAAATGTGATTTTACAAGAAATGAGCAGGCCTCCAACAAATGAATTGAATTTATATAGAATCTATATTTAATTTATATTATTGTAACATCATACTATTCATTTACTAAACAAAACATTAATGAACTTATAAGTCTGTTGCTGGAAAACAGTAATTTAATTTAATCTATGTAATTGGTGAATTCAAAGATGTAAGAATTGTAACTGTTGAAGACCTTCCCGATTATTATCCACTGCCTGCATACCCAGCTCAAGATCGCTTATGTTTCGGCCTGAAGCATTCTTTATCTTTTATGTAATTGTATCTCCTCCATATTTCAGTATTTATAAAACTGAATAAAGTTTTTTAGTCTCTGCATCATGAGAGGGATTCGTTTGTCCGAGGTTCGTTTGTCCGAGCCTTATTATTTTACAAGGTAGGTTTACGCCAGACAGCGTCTTGTCGTAACAGGCTTCGCGATGTCTCGCGGCCTGTTTCTCCAATCCGCGCCTGGCGTACCTACCTTGGCCTGCGGCGCTGGCCTGCCTTTGGCAGGCATTGGCTTGTCCGTCGGCGGTTACTTGTTGCATGCTGGGGGGCTCCGCCCCCCAGACCCCCCTCAAATATAGATAGAGTTGCTTCATCTACAGAGAACACGATCTTGACCCTCGTAACTTATTTACTTGTCGGGGCTGGGGGGCTCCGCCCCCCAGACCCCCCTTTCTTCACGACAGAAGTGATCTGCCTGCAGAAAACTCGATTTTTCGCCGTTTTTTAAGTGTTTTTCGGCTATAAAAACTGAACCAGTTGAGCTAGGACAGTGAAATTTCGCGTGTGGCGAGCCAAGAACATACCTACTAAGCCTGCAAAATCTCAGCCAGATCGGCCGAGCCGTTCAGGAGGAGTAGTGTACACACACACACAGACAGACAGACAGACGGACAGACAGACAGACAGACAAAACTTTTCAACCGCACTGGAGTAACAGGCTTCGCTATCGCTCAGCCAATTATTTAATAAATTAATCTACTGTTCAATATACTTCAGTAACTCTAGTTAAATAAGTACAAGGTAGGTTTACGCCAGACAGCGTCTTGTCGTAACAGGCTTCGCGATGTCTCGCGGCCTGTTTCTCCAATCCGCGCCTGGCGTACCTACCTTGGCCTGCGGCGCTGGCCTGCCTTTGGCAGGCATTGGCTTGTCCGTCGGCGGTTACTTGTTGCATGCTGGGGGGCTCCGCCCCCCAGACCCCCCTCAAATATAGATAGAGTTGCTTCATCTACAGAGAACACGATCTTGACCCTCGTAACTTATTTACTTGTCGGGGCGGGGGGGCTCCGCCCCCCAGACCCCCCTTTCTTCACGACAGAAGTGATCTGCCTGCAGAAAACTCGTTTTTTTCGCCGTTTTTAAGTTTTTTTCGGCTATAAAAACTGAACCAGTTGAGCTAGGACAGTGAAATTTCGCGTGTGGCGAGCCAAGAACATACCTACTAAGCCTGCAAAATCTCAGCCAGATCGGCCGAGCCGTTCAGGAGGAGTAGTGTACACACACACACAGACAGACAGACAGACGGACAGACAGACAGACAGACAAAACTTTTCAACCGCACTGGAGTAACAGGCTTCGCTATCGCTCAGCCAATTAGATAGTTATAGCATTTCATTACCTGTGAGACTCTATTCTATTTCATTCCTCTTAGGAACTAGAAGTGTTTCCATGACGCAATTGTCGAGAAACACCATTTGTTTCAGTACATGTGCTATAACTAAGTTATCATCATAACTTATTTGAATATCTTCGACCTCGCGCCGCAGTCGCGCCGGAAACAGTATGGTGGGTGTCTGGTAGCGTTCAGTGGACGACGCCACTGCGACGACGAACCCGCCAGCGCCTTCTAGATTCTTTGTTGACATGTCTTGTGCGGATATTTTATGTGTAGACAGTAGAGTTGAGAAAACATCTACCAACGGTTTCGCGCGTTTCGCGGGCATTTGGAGTGGAATGTGGTTGCTCTGTAGATGAACGAGGTATTGAAGAAAAGGAGCAGACCGTGTTGTTCGCGCCCAACTCGTTATTGTGAAACTGTTGAATCGTGACAGAGTCGTAAGTTTAATATTTTCTTAAAGAAAACAGAACTCTCTTCCCGAAAGGAAGTAGGGTTAGTGTGCCCCTTGGTTCAAACTTTCCTTTTGTGTTCTTTAGGATCACGATCACAACAATGGTTATCCGCGTGGAAGATGGGAAGCGAGAAGGGACTTATGTTTACCACTGCGAAGATGGCTTCTATTACCATTTTAATAATGGCAACGACTACGGCCAAAATGAGGGCAACGCAACGTTGTTGCATTTACGTTGTGTCAAAAGGTACAAGCGTTCATGTATGGGCACAGCCAAGATTGAAGTTACCGACGACGGAGCCGTGTGGACGAATATGGGACGCCACTCCTGTGCTCCCAACCCAACTCGTCATCAAGTAATGCACTTGCGACAAGATATTCTAGTAGAATCAGTTGAGAACTTCAATCGACCTTACGAAGCTCCAGCAGCTCTGGTTGAGAGAGTGAGGGCACGGTAATGTGGATGTTAAAATTTCGTCCTCTTATTTCTTGGTATGTGTAAGAAAGTGTCATCACACGTATTTATTGTTTTCAGATATCCAGTGAATGTGGCTGTTCAAGTGCCTCCAACTCGCATGAGAGCTGCCATCTACCGAAGCCAGAATTCCCTTTATCCTCTTGTTCCAAGGTCCTTAAATGAGTTGGGGAATGTTTTCAATGACCCCCAATGGCACCACTTGACCTCATCTCTGGACGGCACTGATAACCTTTTCAGTGGGGTGGTCAATTCTCCTGATGGCGGAACTGGAATAGTATTTGTTTCAAGACGCTGCAGACGGGTGCTCAGACGAATGCGAACTGTATTCTGTGATGGGACGTTTGGCAGTCGTCCTGGCCAGCCTCACTCTGCCCAAGTGCTTCAAATAGTGGCTGTGATAAATGGAGCTGTAAGTACACTCAAAGAAATTCTTGTAAAATGATGAGAAAAATTTTGATGAACTCTTTGTAAAACGCAAAACACAACAATTGTTGTAAATTTATGAAAAAAATCTGGATGAACTATTTGTGAAACGCAAAACACAACAATCGTTGTAATTTTTTGAAAAAGAATCTAGACGAACTATTTTTTAAAACGCAAAACACAACGATTGTTGTAAATTTATGAACAAAATCTGGATGAAGTATATGTAAAACGCAAAACACAACGATTGTTGTAAATTTATGAAAAAAATCTGGAAGAAGTATTTGCGAAACGCAAAACACAACTATTGTTGGAAATTTATGAAAAGAAAATCTGGATGAACTGTTGTAAAACGGAAAACACAACGATTATTGTAAATTTATGAAAAAAGTCTAGATGAACTGTTTGTTAAACAAAAAACACGACTGTTGTTGTAAATTTATGAAAAAAATCTGGATGAACTAATTTGTAAAACGCAAAACACAACAATTGTTGTAAATTTATGAAAAAATGGAATCCGAAGGCTCCATGTATGACACGGGAAGTTCATTCAAAATATATTTAAGGATGAACTTTATTGTAAGGCTCCAAGTACATCACTGGTTGTAAATTCAGGATATAATTTTGGATAAACTTTATCGTAAATTTCCAACTACGATACTTTGTGTCAATTTATAAAAAGAAATTGGATGAACTATGTTGCTAACGTTACTTGTTTGGAGAACTCTAAAGGTTCACTTGAAGAGTCATTGGGTAGCTGGCTCCCCAGCTAGCGTGTGTCTTGGTAGCACAGTGGTAAAGACCGTGCACCGTAAGAGTAATGTCGTGGGTTCAAATCTGTCAGGAAAATCGAAGTAAAACTATTGCAGAAGAAAGTTGAAGGGAAGTGTCATATTTATACAACCAAAAAATCTTATTGATTTTACACCTTTTGCCGTAAAATAAAATGACGACACTTTTCTTCAAATAATGACTTTTGTCATATTCTATGAGGCCAGGAAAAAAAAGAAACTTCCCAGATTTTACAGGTCTAGTTGTAAAATAATGACTTTTTACTTCAAATGATGATTACTTTTGTATTCTGCAAAGGACTTCATGGATCCAGAAAATTTTCTTTCTATGTCGTTAAATTACAAAACTTCTTGTAAAAATACGAAGTGGTTGTAATTTCAAAATACAAAGGGTTTGTGGTAGAAAATTTGCAGAGGTTTTGTTGTCATTTTACAAAAAAATTTCTGAGAGTGTACTTCTTTTGGCACTTTATCCTGTCTTGGCTGGTGTTTGTGAAGAACACAGAAATTGATATTTGTACTGGTTGTCCTTTTAAAGGTGACACCATTGGTACAAGTTTTACTGAGTAGTAAAAGTCAACTGCTGTATGAAGCAACCCTTCGACACATCCAAAGACTTGTTCCTGGATTTCGGCCCAACTGTGTAATGACGGATTTTGAGACTGCTTTGCAAAATGCATGGAAAGCAGTTTTCCCTCGGTGTCAGGTTTATGGTTGCTACTGGCATTACTGCAGGGTAGGTATTATCTTGGTGCATTGCTATCACTGTTTGCAAGATTGGGTTCATTTATTGATTATTTTTCAGGCTGTACTACTGAAAGCAAGGGCTTTAGGACTGACACAGCTGATGCGAGACAATCGAGTCCTGAGGAGCCTTGTAAGAGCATCTCTAGCTCTGCCACTTCTTCCAGCAGGCCTGATTGATCGAGGTCTTCGAACCCTTATTCTTGAAGCCCAACGTAGTGGACATTTTCCTGTGCTTGAGCCTTTTTTCACCTACTGGGTAGAAACCTGGGGAAACCCACGCTTCTTCAGATACCTGTCTGTATATGGTCTCAAGCACAGAACAAATAATGTAAGGAAATCTAATGCATGTGGATGTGAGTTTCTCTGATGCACATTACTAATTAAGTTCTACTTTGTCACCTCCAATCAGGTTGCTGAATCTGCTAATCGTCTCCTAAGGTCAAAGACAGGGGCGCATCGGCCAGGCTTGTGGCACTTTCTGTGTAAGTAGCAGTGCTTGCATTGATGCGTGATTCACTTTCCTTGTACAAGCCTTGGGACTCATGTTTCTATATTTATCTATTCTAGCGGCTTTGAGGAGGCATGAGCATAGTACATACCTCAAGCTTATGTCTGCTGAATTGGGTCTTCGTGCCAACAGAAGCCGAAGGGTGTCTGCCATCAACAATGACAGGAAAATTCGGAATTACCAGGGTCAGATGTTTCAAGGGGAGATAAGCATCAACAAGTTCTTGCATTTGGCTTCCACTCGTGTACTACGTGTTTTTGATGTCATCATTTTGAATGCCTGATCTGTTCATTGGTACAATCTCTAGTCATTCTTTGTTTCACACACTTGCTGTAAAAATATATGTTTATTTAAAGCTGACTATTTCTTGGTCTGTCATTGCTTTACTTCCTGTGTACGTGTGTTTGAAATTATTGGACAAAGATTTAATTTCTTATCTCAGATATGACTCCAGCATTTTGTTCTTAAAATTTTGTGGATACCAGCATGTGTGTTCATTGCCTTATTTCATAAGCCAGGGTGAATGTTTACTATTTAACTAACCAATGATAGAGAGATTTGTGATATGTTGTGGTGTGAAAGAAATAAAAGTTCTATGGATAAATGTCACTCTTAATTCCCCGAAACCCTGATATTCATTTGATGTTCGAAAGATGCGGCCTATTTTATCTCCAGAAATGGTTTGTCTGAGGATTAACCCAAGTCTTCGGTTTCGACAGTTGATTCTTTATGGCACAATTCACATCGAATGAGAGTCATTCATTCCCCTGGTTTCAGAGCTACTTGTGCCCAGGTTCTGACTCCAGGTGTAACTATTCCAAGTAGGTTTAATGATGCATAGCTCAGTAAATTTGATTTAGAATTGAGTGGGTTTAATGATGCATAGCTCAGTAAATTTGATTTAGAATTGAGTGAAGTGCCATGTATCAAAAGCACTTAAGATTCAAGATATGTCGGATTATGGTATCTTATAAAATTGGATCACATTAAATTGCATGCGAACTGGGTTCAGCGAATTGTTGATAGGTGTGGGATAGGAAAAACTGATAACAATGACAAAGGCTTTAAAACATTTTATTAAACAAACATCATGTTGAAAGTCATTACAAACTAACTGAAGGCAGAACAAAAATGAAATACAGCAGGGCGGCAGTCCAACACTTGTTGAGAAAAACCATCATGTAGGAAAGTCATTACAAAAATAAACAAAGGTAGAACAACCCATAAGTACAGAAGGGCAGCAGTACAACACTTATTGAGAAAAACCATCATGTAGAAAAGTCATTACAAAAACAAACAAAGGTAGAACAACCCATAAGTACAGAAGGGCAGCAGTACAACACTTAGAGAAAAAACATCATGTAGAAAAGTCATTACAAAAATTAACTAAAATAGAACAACCCATATTAAGTACAAAAGGGCAGCAGTACAACACTTACATTAAAAGCATCTGAAGATGAAAGTCATTGGAAGATAAAATAAGTAAACAGCACTCTGTTTACAAACTTTACAAGTACACTCTATCCCATTTCCTAAAAGCCGCCCTGCACTTAGGGCATGGCTGCTTACGAGCTTTTAACGCTTGCAAGCATGGAATGCAAAACAAATGCTTGCAGCGCAGCATTGCCTCCACCTCCTTCTCTAGGCAAACTGAGCAGATACCAGACCGCTGGGGTGGCTCAGGGTTGTTCGGAGCACCAGGGGCTGGGGCTGCTTCATCGGGAGCTGCGGCTTCTTCAATAGCTGGGGCTGCTCCAGCGGCTGCTTGAGCAGAGGCAGCTGGGGCGGCAGCTGGGGCAGTTCTTGGGCGCCACTGCGCCATCGCCACCATTGCAGCTCTGGCCCTGCTCACGTCCAGCGGCCTACTGCTGCTTGCAGAAGCAGAAGAAGCTGATGCCATGCCAGTAGTTTCAGACTGAGTACCCGACCCAGAAGCTGATGACATAGCAGCTCTTGCCATGGCCAAGTTGTCAGGCTTGAAGCTGCGACCTGCTGACCCAGCTGTAGACGTGGATGCAATGGCAGCCCTGGCCTGCACTAAGTTCCCTTGCTCTGTAGAACTCATAGCAGACTCAGAAGTCCTTCTCGCAGAGTTGCTGGCACTACTGGATGCCAGGGCCTTAGCCTGGGCCAAGCTGTTCACAGCAATACTGGTAGACTGCTGAGATGAGTGACCTGTAATGAACAATTAAATGAGCACAGGCATATCATAAGTGTCAGACCATTATAGTTAACACAACTTACCAAATCTGTAGTTAGATGCAAGCATTGGCCGTTTTCCATCACTTCGCCCAGAGAGAGACAGTGATCTCTTCGGACGAGGACACAAAGGCGGCGAAGGCATTCGTATGTTCCGAGAAGGGAGGAAATCGTCCTCGTCAGGATCATCAACAGCAGCTTCTTCATTATCAGAGAAATCTGAAAAAATTTAATTTCAATTATTACACAAATACCAAAATGGTGAAAGGGACATACAGTGGAGTGGCAGGACAGGATCAAGCTCACCTTGCAAGAAGCTGAAATCGGGACTTGGTGACCGGCAAAGGTCAACAACCTCCGCAGGCTCAGTGGAAGTAACTTCGGGCTCATCAACAACCACACAAGCCGGCTCAATTTCTTCGACTGCTGGGGCAGATTCAATCTCCACTGGGGCAGATTCAATCTCCACTGGGGCAGATTCAATCTCCACTGGGGCAGAATCAATCTCCACTGGGGCAGAATCAATCTCCACTACTCGGGCAGACTGAAATTCATTCTGTTTGGCAGTCTCACACAGAGCCCTCTGGTTCATGAATTGACCAACTGTAAAAAAAACAAAACAAATAATAACATCGATTTCCTAACTAAACATAAAGAAGAACAAGTTAGACAACTTACAGAGCTGTGGAAGAAATGTTGAGCTAGCACCTGATATGTTGAAGTTAATGGTAAAAGTCATCGCACCAGCGGTAGCTGTAGTTGCACCTAGACAGACACCATGAAATATTAATTTAACCAGAATAAATAAAGTAAACAACATTAAGACAAAACTCTGGGAATCTCGATAGTTACCATTAGCCGCAAGGACAGGTCCAGCAGCTGCGCCCTCGCTTGAAGTGGCTTTGCCATGGGTTTCTCCCCCAGCCACGTTGGTTGGAGCAGGTTCCTCTGGCAGAGCAGTGCGCCTTCGCTTGAAGTGGCTTTGCCATGGGTTTCTCCCCCAGCCACGTTGGTTGGAGCAGGTTCCTCCGGCAGAGCAGCAGCTTCCTTGTCCGGAACTGCAGCATTCTCGCTGGTTAGCTTGGCCAAGAAGGCCTCCCTGGCCTGCCTCAGTTCGTTCGAACTGAATGATAAACAAAACAAATACAACATTATAGCAGAGGAAAACTACAGCATTCACACTAGGGCTTAGGAGAGGCAATTCCAGGGCCAGCACTGTAACAATCGGAGAAGTAATTCTCAATTTCCCAAGCCAATCAATGAGAGAGAATAGAGGACGCCAGCCTGCCGCCACAGGTCTTTTCCGAACCAGAGCAAAGACAGACCCAGTTACAACACTAACCAAACACAGCTAAATCAATGCGATGGACGGATACAAAGCTATAACGAACTTAAAAGAAACGCGTCACGACTTGGCGTTGAGGTGTGGGCGTGGCGGTGAGACCGCCATGCGGTCACGTCCACTCCAAAGCAGAACAAAGACAGACCCAGTTTAATTATTCACCACACCCAGCTAAATCAATGAGACGGATGGGTTCACGGATTCATAGATAAAACAAACGGGATAACTTGGAAAAGAAGCGTCCAGACGTGGCCGTTGGGGTGTAGTGGGCGTGAGGGCGACGAGACCGCCATGAGGTCAGGTCCCTTCCAAAGCGGAACAAAGACAGACCCAAATAAATTATTAACCACACAGCTAAATCTGTGCGACGGACACGGAAAGATTCACGGATTCAAAGCTAAAACGAACGGGATGGCTTGGGCTTGACTTGGCGCGCCGCATGGCGGGACTAGGCGCAGCTCGCAACAGGTGAGCAAAATGGACAGAGCACAGGCGCACAGGCCACATCTTATGGGTCTTGAATGAGGTTATTACACCATAAGGTGAATGAAATCTTAGGTTCATAGAACAACACAGGAATGAACACAAACTACAAGTTCAGGACAGGGGACATGAGACAGCGCGGGACACGGAACGGAGCGGGACACGTACCTCATCTTTGCTTGATGGTCAGCCACAGAATGCCGCGAAGGGGATCGGCGGCGGCTGGCGGCGGGCCGCGGAGAGATACGACTGGATGGACTCTTCATGCCTTCACAGCGCCGAGCGTTGACTTACAATTGTTCACGCATGCGGCCATCCCGTTTCATAAACAATTATTTTTCGATTTGTGAATGATTTAAAACGTTCTCAAAATTGTTTTAGGGCATAGGAAGCAAAGGACTATTTTCTTTGCGCGTCATCACACAGCGTTGCACGACAATGCACTTCAACAAAGATACTCCATTCGCCAAAGCAGCATCGAAGGCGAAGTTCTTTGGATAGATGAATTTGGCGCGGAACTGAACTGGAACTCGTAGCGGGGTAGTTCAAATGGGTAGTGAAGCGAGTCAACAGGGTTAGGGAGTAGGTCTCGGGATATTACTTTGATATTCAGGAGTAGATGAATTAAAGCAGTGCCCCATAGTAACGTGAGCAAGTTACTGGACTCTCTCGCATCAGCGAGGCATCATAATGTCGAATTATGAGCCATGAGACGGAAAACAACTGGCTGAATGCTCAGTACAACTTTGTTCGTGGATGCATGAACTAAAATCTGTGTAACATTTTACACAAAATTGTGCTAAAATTTGCATAAATTAATTCATTTTTACGTGTAATATTTGGCGAGCAGGGTCACGTTCCGGGGAAACACGAGCGCTCAAAATGCGTCTAGAATTTCGGCCGCCTGGGCTGGTCTTCTGGACCACTGTGGGGCGCTGAACGGTAGCTTCGCGGTAGCGGCGGCGGCAAAACGCCACCGCCAGGCGTTTTCTGATCTACAGCCGTTGTTCTCATTGCTCTTCCAACCTACATCGCGGTGGCGGTGGCTCCCCGAAAGTATGGCCGGGCAATGCATAGCTATATTAAGTTATGACTTCAACGTTGTTTGTCTACCAGACCTTGAAAACTTAATTTCGATTACATATGATTGCATCAAATCTGTAGGTGGTGCCTCTCCCCCCCCCCGAAAAAATGAATTTAGGAGTCCACCAGCCTTTTAGTTTGTGATAACAATGTCTGGAAAGGTGCCTATGAAATGGCAAGGAATTAACAATTTTCTTGCGATCTCTTCAAATTATTTTCCACTAGTACACTGATTTAAAATAAGAGTTTAAAGAAAAATTCACCACCATGAAATGCCAGTTGACTCGTGTGAACATCACAAAAATTCACTACTTCTTTCCATAATTGTATAGCGAACTGCCCTAGTGCAAAAAGGAAGGAAACAGAGAAGTGCACAACACCTCAGGTATCAACTTATGTTATTTCTCTTGAAACAATGTAAATGTCACATCTCAGCCACACACAAGCAATGAAGAAATTCAGAAAAAGAAGAGAAAGTTATCTTCTTAGTCTCAAAGACCAGCGACACCAAGTTACGTCAGGATTCAGGAACAAGAACTTGGATATGACGAAGGAGTGCTTCATGCAACACAGTTGACTTTAACTGCTTAGTGGCACTTGAACCAAGCATGTCACCTTAAATGGGACAGACAATATCACGTATAAATCAACACCAAATATCAAGACCAACACTAACACTTTGGCAAGATAGAATTGCACTTACAGTGGTACTCACAGCTTCATTAGTCATTACCACCATTCGAAGAACTTGCGCAGAGGGACACTAGACCAGACTATTGCCCAAAGTCTCATCACAAAAGACTGATATTGTACTTGATTCAACTAAGCTCTGCAGTGTCTTGAAAGAGAAACAATGAAAAAAATATCAGAATAAAGAGCAACTTTCTACCAAGCAAAGAAACGAAAAAGACATTTCCTACCAACCTGTGCACTCATTCACTTCAGCAGAGAAACTAACCCTTCCACGGGCTTGCACCGACGTAAAATGTCTCTTTGGAAGTCGAATCAAACCATCAAACATACTTACGACACAGCAAGAGGTAAACAACGATAACCAAATTAAGGGGTACGGATGACATAAACAATATACATTGCAATTTCATGAATATCAAGGTTTGTCGTCAAACGGAACGTTCGTTGTTGTTGATGTTGTTTTGTTCATGTTCACATCGGTTCACATCGACTGTGACTGTGAGCGTCGGCGGTGTAATGCAGTGAATGTCAAAACAGATATAGAATCCAGAAGGCGCTGGCGTGTGCGTCAGAGCAGTGGGCACCATCCACTGAACGCGACCAGAAACCCGCCATATTGTTTCCGGCGCGACCGCGGCGCGAGGTTGAGGATATTCAAATCAGCTATGTTATTTAAATAACTTGTTCCCTAAAAGAACAACTTTGTAATGGTTAATTAGAATAGTGAAAACAAAAAGACTTTCTTGTCCTTGATTAGACCTTATTAGCCACTAAGAACAAAGAAACTTAGGTACAATTGATATAATTTGACAAATTTTACTAACAGAGTTACTGAAGTGCCATAACTCAAATAACGTTAATAAGACTCGGACAAACGAACCTCGGACAAACGGGGCCGTCCCCTGCATCATGACTATACCTAATTTGCTTCTACTCTCCAGTCTTTACCTTGATCATTGATTTTAACAGCTTGTAAAGGCTTTAAAAAATTTTATTATAAACAAAAAAAGAAACGGATGGAAAACAAAGGACATACTAACATAATATGAAGATCTATGGAAAAAACAAAACATAATGATACCCCAAAATTTTAAAACTTTTGTAAAAAAATAACTAGAGCTTAACTCCCTGGAAATTTCAATTAAAAAAAAGTATAATTTTTTTCTGAACAAACTCATCAAAATGAAACCATAAAACTGAATAAAGATGTTTTTGGCCTCTGCATACCTAATTTGCTTCTGCCCTCTGTCTCTCCCTTTATCATTGATTTTGAACAGCTTGTCAAGGCCTTATGAAGTTTATTATAAAACAAAACAAACAAATTGATGGGAAGTGGAAGGACATGCTAATATAAGATAAAGATCTATATAATAGGACAGAACATGATAATTACACCAATAGATAAAATAAAGCAAGCATATTTTAAATTTTAATTAACATGAGAGAAAAAAATACTGCACTGGTATTTGTAAGTTGAGATTTATTCTGACACCAGAAGGTGAACTAATAAATGTCAAAGTTGTGAAAAACACACTACAAATATGAAAAATGCAACTTTGGATACGCAGAACACCGCTGAACAATGTACACAACACAATTCATTCTTTGAGACACTGAGAGTAAATGTCACTTCTGATTCCGATGATGCTGGCAGGAGAAGGAAGCTGATGGAGCAGGCAAGACAACACACAGCTGCTGTTCAGGCTGGATCACGCGGAGTTATATTTAGTTAAGAACTCTGCAGAATCGGCGCGACCAGATCGGCGTGACGCTCGGCGTGAGCGTCACGCCGAAGTGTCGCTCGGATGGCGGAAGGCAGTGTTTTTTCGTCCGATCAAGCACCTCACCAAGAGGATGAACGACATAAATCATGATGCGGCATTCGCTGATGCCATTTATGTATTTTTCCAATATATGATGACGACGATGAGGCGTTTGAGACGATGAAGTAGGGTTAGGTACGCCATCCGAGCGACGCTTCGGCATGACGCTCACGCCGAGCGTCACGCCGATCTGGTCGCGCCGATTCTGCAGAGTTCTTAACTAAATATAACTAAGACAACACACAGCTGCTGTTCAGGCTGGATCACCTGATAAGTACCTGATGGATACGAGAGACGGAAACCACATCACAGATTCCAGCAGACCTTGGCAGCCATCCTAGAAACAGTCAAGATGGAAACAAAAGTCAGTATATTTAAGCACCAAAAGGGCTCAAGCGGATGACTTTGACAACAAAACCATAAAACTATTACTGTAGCTAAATTTTGAAACAGAGTTAGATCCAAACAGAAGGGGACTCAAACATTACCTGTACATTGTAGGATCCATAACT